ATTCCAGATCTTGTTCAAGCTGTGAGACCCCTGTGAGACCGAACATAGCCTCTCTGCCTTCTCGCAGATCCTCCAGGGTAGGTTCTCCTTCATCGCCAAACACAAAATGATCTGTAAGGCTCTCCCACAGCAATCCAGGCCCACCAAAGTCATATCCCTCCGGAGAGTATTCTGTTGTCACCCCTAAATATTTCTGCTCTACGTACCACCGCAGAGCCCAGTATCGGTTGTCCAGTTCTATCTCCTGCTAACAGGCACAGGGTGACTTACACATAAGAGGGATATGGGGAGCTGAGACAGGGGTCTCCCCACCTCTCCAAAGGGGGCTGTGCTCCATGGGCCCCCCCACCCAAAGTCACTCTCATCACAAGTGATTTAATGGGGGGTGCAGAGATGAGTTATGGAATGAGGGGGTGTAGAAATGAGTGATTGAATGGGGGGTGCAGAGATGAGTAATGGAATGAGGGGGTGTAGAAATGAGTGGTGGAATGAGGGGCTGCTGAGATGAGTGATGGAATGGGGGGGTGCAGAGATGATTAATGGAATGGGGGGCTGCTGAGATGAGTGATGGAATGGGGGGGGTGTAGAGATGATTAATGGAATGGGGGGGGGGGGGTGCAGAGATGAGTTATGGAATAAGGGGTGCAGAGATGAGCGAAGGAATGGTGGGGTGCAGAGATGAGTGGTGGAATAGGAGGATGCAGAGATGAGTAATGGAATGGGGGGGTGCAGAGATGAGTTATTGAATAGGGGGGTAAAGAGATGAGTGATGAAATGGGGGGTATTGTTGTTTCCCACCCCAGATGGGACTGTGCCATACCTTGTGCAGACTCCGCAATGGAGGTGGTCCATGACAGGCATCTCCATGGTCCAGTCTGGGGGGGTCACTGTTGTAAGGGGGGATGAATACTCTCGGCAGGTATATGGAGACATTGGTATAAACGTTCCCCTCATATCAGCAGCTCCCCATTTATTCTTTTATGTACAGTACTGTGTCCTTTATTTCCAGTCTGCTGTGTTCTGCATTTGTAAAATGTCGTCTCTGTAATTTACATGCTTTTTGTTTTTTTGTTTTTTTTTCTTTTTTAAAGAGACTTCAATAAAGATTTTTTCCTGTATGAAGGGCGCACTGAGGTTCCTAAGGCTTGTTTGGATAAATGCATCCCATACAAATATGTCATTGTGCGAGCCAATGGGAAAGAAGAGTATGAATACCTCTACAGCTCTGATGTACAAAAAGAAGTCATTGTAAATCGTTGTCTGTATATTCGGTCGAAGTTTGTTCAAGGAAACGGTGAGATTTCTGTACATCAGGAAGTATTTCTGGAAGTGTGAGGATTAAAGATACAGAACATTCATGTTGAGGTTTCATTGACTGACTCATTGATCCGTTTATGTCCCTGTAGAGTGGCATCAGTACGATGATGTGTGTGTGAAGTACTCGAGAATGGATATATCATGGATATGGAGCAAGGAAAAAGAGCGAAAGAAGATGGCCGGAGAAGCCATGCTCAGTGGAATTTTCAGCATTCTCACAAACTGTGATGCCATCAATATGTGCAATTTCTTTATCCAGCTTCGGCAGTTCTATGTCGTGTATACGGCCCCCCTTCTGATGGGGGGTAATATCACAGTAATATCATGGCAGAATGCTGACATAGGAGTGGAGGAGGTAACTAGTCTATACATTCTACTCTGAAAGGGTAATATATATAGCAGTGCAGGGATCCTGCATGATGGGCAGAGTTCTGTAACTAATAGCAACCAAATCAGATCATTTACAGATTAAAGTGTATCTAAACCCAAGTACAAAATATCGCATAGCAGGTCACGAGTCCTTCAGCCTTTCAATGCCAAAGCTGGTTTTCATTTTTCCTTTTTTGCACGCATGTCAAAATGAGCATTTTAGGCCCGAACATTAATTAACCCCAACCCTCAGGCTAGGTTCACTTAGATGCAGATTGTGCGATTTCACTGTGCATTTTGTGGCGCACTTTGCTTTTTGTAAGTGATTAGCATTTTTTCGCCCAATACGAAAATACTGACTTTGATGCCACTGTCATGCAACTTTGGATGGGTTCAACTTTGATGCAACTTGGATGTAGCTTTGATGCAGCTTGGATGTAGCTTTGATGCAACTTGGATGTAGCTTTGATGCAACTTGGATGTAGCTTTGATGCAACTTGGATGTAGCTTTGATGCAACTTGGATGTAGCTTTGATGCAACTTGGATGAAGCTTTTGATGCAACTTGGATGAAGCTTTTGATGCAACTTGGATGTAGCTTTTGATGCATCTTGGATGTAGCTTTGATGCAACTTGGATGTAGCTTTGATGCAACTTGGATGTAGCTTTTGATGCAACTTGGATGTAGCTTTTGATGCAACTTGGATGGGTTCAGCTTTGATGCAACTTGGATGGGTTCAGCTTTGATGCAACTTGGATGGGTTCAGCTTTGATGCAACTTGGATGGGTTCAGCTTTGATGCAACTTGGATGGGTTCAGATTTGATGCAACTTGGATGTAGCTTTGATGCAACTTGGATGTTAGTTTTGATGCAACTTGGATGTAGCTTTGATGCAGCTTTGTTTTGCTGATAGGAAAGTATAACAGTTTTGCTTATATAGTGCAGCTTTGATGTGACTTTACTGAACTCTCTGACACTTAAGTAGCATCAAAGTTGCACCCATCCCAAGTTGCATACAAGTCACATACATTAGTCACATCCATCAAAGTCGCATCCAAGTTGCTTTAAAGTCAATACTTTCCATTGGCTAAAAAAAACCCCTCACAACACACATTTAAAACACATCAAAAATGCAACACTTGGTGCGGGTTGATTGAAGTCTAATGTATGCAAAACGCAATCTGCTGCGGGAAAAAAAGTCCCTGACCCTTTCCAAAAAAACGCACCGATGCTCAAAACGCACAGATGTGAACGTGATCCATAGGAAATCATGGTAGATGAACCGTAGAAACTAAAAAAACCTCACAGAAATCCCCATAAGTAATCAGCTAAGGTCAAACATGATATATTCCATGAAATGCGGAGACCTTGGGAACTAAATGACGGTAGTGTGCAATGTTTGTTCATGTAGTGTTCATCTAATGCATACTGTCAATAAAAATACACGTAAAGGGTGACTTTAGTCCACAAAGAACCAATATATCGCCGAACGTTTTAGTAAAATGAGGTTGTGCCGAGTACATAGATACCCAACATGTCAAGCCAATTGTGTGTACCTGTGAAATGGTTGCAAACTGAAATTCTCCATAGGAGTCCACAATTTAGGCTCGGTTCACATCTGTGCGGGTGGTGCCGCTGCGGATCCGCATAAAAATCAGTGCAGCCACACCACCCGCACAGTGGGGAATGCGGACCCGGGTGGATGCCATTAGTTCTAATGGCACGCCGCCCGCACTGGGAAACGCAACCGTACTGGGAACCTCGGCTGCATTTTCAGAAGAAGTGCCGGGGACTTCTTCCCTGCGTGTCACGGGGGCACAGGAGTCCATTCAAATAAATTGGCTCTCGTGCCCACACGCAAAACGCTGGCCGCATATACGTGAATCACGGCTTAAAGTCCTCACAGCTCGTCCATTCAGAGTTCACTGAGAAAGATGACCCTGGAATGATTGTTCTCACTCTGCAGTGCTTGGCGGAATGTAACTCGTGTCGTGCAATCAGCATTTGTCTATTCATTTCCCAGATGGATGCATTTGTGTATCGGTGTCGTGTTTTGTTTTGGTTTTTATCACTTGTTTGTTTTTATATATACAGTTCAAAATAATAGCAGTGTGTTGAAAAAAGTGAATAAAGCTGAAAATCCTTCTAAATCCTTTTATTTCCATCCACACAAATGCATTGGGAACACGACACATTCTATTCCAAATCACAACATGAAGAAAAATACATCAAATTTGTGTTGTTCCTCTAAAAAACATGGAAGAAAAGTGAATATTAGACGGGTTCAAACAAATCGCAGTGTTTGTATTCTTCTTTACAAACTCAAACATTCACCATATAAACTGAGAAATGTTTGAAGATTTTGCTTTCCTTTGAATGACTTCATGAATATTTGGTTGTAGTCGCACTGTTTCTGAGAACTGCTGTACATCTGTGTTGCATGGAGTCACCCAACTTCTGGCCCCTGTGATCAGGTATTCCAGCCCAGGATGATTGGACCACATTCCACTCAGTTCTTCTCTATTTCTTGTTTTGCCTCAGAAACGGCATTTTTGATGTCACCCCACAAGTTTTCTATTGGATGAAGATCCGGGGATTGGGCTGGCCACTCCATAACGTCCATCTTGTTGGTCTGGAACCAAGATGTTGCACGTTTACTGGTGTGTTTGGGGTCGTCGTTGTCTTGTTGGAACACCCATTTCAAGGGCATTTCCTCTTCAGCATAAGGCAGCATGACCTCTTCAAGTATTCTGGATGGATTCAAACTGATCCATGATCCCTGGTATGCGATAAATAGGCCCAACACCGTAGTATGAGAAACATCCCCATATCATGATGCTTGCACCACCATGCTTCACGGGTCTTCACAGTGTACTGTGGCTTGAATTCAGTGTTTGGGGGTCGTCTGACAAACTGTCTCCGCCCACTAGACCCAAAAAGAACAATCTTACTTTTATCAGTCCACAAAATGTTGCCCCATTTCTCTTTAGGCCGGTCAATGTGCTCTTTGGCAGATTGTAACCTCTGCAGCACGTCTTTTTTCCAACAGTGGGACTTTGCGGGGACTTCTTGCAGATAGCTTGGCTTCACATAGGGGTCTTCTAATTGTAACAGTCCTCACAGGGAACGTCACACCTTCTTTCATCTTCCTGGAGCTGTAGCTGTCACCATGGTGACACTGTACTACTTGTGGGGGGTGATGAAGATTTTTTTTTTTTTTTTACACTGATTGCTTTTACACCCATAAAGACTGTAAAAAACAATCATTTCTCCTTCTCTCTGGCTGCATTCTTGCAGCCATTGAGAACTACTGTGAGAGCCGTGATTGGTCACAGCTTGTCATATGGTACAAGGCTGTTGTGATTAGCCCTGTACAATGTTACCTCTGTGATCATTCACAGATTTCACACGTAGTAAGCAATGATGTCAGAAGTAACACCTTGCTTACTACTCTGTGTAATGTACATGTGACATAAATGTACAGATTTGAGTAGATTAGATGTAGATTCAGTCCTTGTCATTGGGGGAAATGAGGTACTCAGACACAGAGGCTCATCAATTAGCACCGGAAAAGCCAGGCTTCCTGGATGTGACGGCTACAGTGCTAAATAAGGTTTTGTCACCTTCTGGTGAAACCCGTTTAAAGGAAGTGGCTCCACATATTTCTGCTTCATGACAGCAGGGGTCTCTGATCTGTCTGGGGAGCTAAAAGTGTCTACATACATCAAAGGAGTATGTTTAATCTCTCATAAAAGCTAAAATATTAGTTGCAGAGAGATGAACATACTCCCTTCTTGTAGGGCATTCTGTGCGCTACATCAGCATATAAAAACCACATTTTAGATTAGGTAGAATGCCAGGAAAATGCAGGAAATGGTTAGGTGGCGCTGGATTGCGACAGTTGAATGGTGTTTGGTACTGCTGCGATCGGGCCGATGCGCTGGTGTCGGAAATCCAATCCCCGACCTGGTGTTTTCAATCCGGTCTCAGTCCGATTGAACTTGGGCAGGTCAGTACCCAGAACATCCTGTAGGCAGGTACAGGAGCAGCCCCCAGGGTCAATTGGCCGAAGACTAATGTCCCACCTACATCCATATCCCCATAAATTGAGTACCAGGGCATTGGGACATTTGTAATTTGTATGGAGCCGGTTCAATTGACCAGCAGATTGCTGATTCTCCTCCCTGACTTTCTCCAGTCGCAGGATAGATCTTTGTAAAATTTTTATTTCTATTTTATTCTCTTTTTTTATAGTGAATAGTTCTTTGTGTGTCTTGTTGTATTTTTTGTAACTTTTTATATTTTGTACATATTTTATGCACTGCCCACTTTCGGGAAATTAAATCTTAAAATTAATTCTGTGTATTTAAGCACATGCTTATATCTTCGGAGAGATCAGATTGGATTGTATTTTAGTGCCTTTAAACACACTCGGTCAAGCTCATTGCCAATCTGTATGCAATTGCACTGCGTGAAGGTAACAGATCTGCCAGATGGAGATCTGTGTGTGTGGGGTGTCTCAACAGACCATTCTGCGGATAAAAACTGTTGGGTGGTGGCAGACTACCGTTTGTGGTGTGTCTGGTGCGGGGGGGGGGGGGGTGGGACAGTGGAAGGAGAGATTAACACTGGGGTTTAAGCTGTAGGATAGCTGGAGGGACCTTAGAAGGGTGTGATAACTAAGCCGCCCTCCTCAACTCTAATCAGTTTACCAGATTGTATGTAAGATTTGTATCTGCCACTGTGTGGTCGACCAGCTGGATTGGAGTGGAGTCTTCCTCCAGTGGTGGAAAAAGGTAGTGCGGGCTGTGAAAGTGTATCACGGCTGATGTTATATATGGTTTTATATATTCAAAGTTGAGTCTCCCTTTATTCCCTCTTACCTCAAGTCACGGCCGCACGTGCATGCCTCGGTTAGCTAGTCGCTGTGTGCGTGTGGGGTATCCGTGACACTCTGCATTTGATCACTGATTGGCCAATCAGTGATCACATGATCAGGACCTCGCACAGAGGTCCCGTCCGATCTGTGTTCCACTGTATCCGGAGGACACGGCGGGCACCGGATCACGGTGCTGCGCGCTGCCAGGACATTATAAACAGCCACCCCGACCCTGCAGTGCCACCGTCCGGCCGTTTATATACATGGGCCGCACGGGAGGTGGTTAAAGGATAAGTTCGCCTTTACAAAAAAAATAATAAATGTACATTTTTTTTTTTGCTGGTAAAAAAAATTGCATTAATTTTTTTCTAGGAGCCTGTACAACAGGGGTGCTCAATCTTTTGAAGAGTGAGGGCCACTTAAGTGATTTGGTAAGCGGTCGCGGGACACAGTGAAATGGTTCCAAATTTAACCCCTTCATGTTGGCGCCTCCTGGTCCTTTAAGGGTTTCAGAAGCCGGGAGGCAGAGCGGGGTTTAGGGTCATGTGACCACCGTGACATGCCGTCATGGAGGCCACATGATCGGGAAGGGTCCCAATCAAAAGAGGAGATTGGGACCTTTCCGTGAGTACTGGGCAGGGCGTACACTCTCAGCACACATGTTCTTTTTTAATAGAACGCATCTAGGCCCAGACGCCAGGAGGCCGCACATTTGCGTTTGGCCGGCGTGAACAGGTTAAAATGTTTTATTTGGATTGCATAATGAACATTTTCCTATAACCCTTCATTACTCTATTCAAAATGGGGGGGGAAAAAAGTTTTTTCCTATAGTTCTATTTTAATAAAAGATTCTTGTCATTTTCTGTAATCAACTTGCTTAAAAATTTCAAAATACACAATTGGTAAAACCTAAACATTAGCATCAAGTAATATAGAATTTCCTTCCCTCGAGGAACTATTACAGGTCTGTGTGTGGCCACAACATGTTTGGAACATGACACCCTTTAAATAAATACCCTGATCGCCCTCACCCGTCAGCCTAATCTACAGGTGAAACTCGAACAATTAGAATATCGTGTAAAAAAAGTTGATTTATTTCAGTGCAGAAACTTAAAAGGTGACACTAATATATGAGATAGACTCATTCCATGCAAAGCAAGATAGTTCAAGCCGTGATTTGTCATCATTGTGATGATTATGGCTTACAGCTCATGAAAACCCCAAATCCACAATCTCAGAAAATGAGAATATTCCATGCAATCAATAAAACACGGATTGTACATAGAACAATATCGCACCTCTGAAAAGTAGAAGCTGCATATGTACTCAGTACTTGGTTTGGGCCCCTTTTGCAGCAATTACTGCCTCAATGCGGCGTGGCATGGAAGCTATCAGCCTGTGGCACTGCTGAGGTGTTATGGAAGACCAGGATGCTTCAATAGCGGCCTTCAGCTCTTCTGCATTGTTCGGTCTCATGTCTCTCATCTTTCTCTTGGCAATGCCCCATAGAGTCTCTTTGGGGTTCAGGTCAGGCGAGTTTGCTGGCCAATCAAGCACAGTAATCCCACGGTCATTGAACCAGGTTTTGGTGCTTTTGGCAGTGTGGGCGGAGCCAAGTCCTGCTGGAAAATGAAGTCAGCATCCCCATAAAGCTCGTCTGCGGAAGGAAGCATGAAGTGCCCCAAAATCTCCTGGTAGACGGCTGCGGGGACCCTGGACTTCATGAAGCACAGTGGACCAACACCAGCAGATGACATGGCTCCCCAAATCAACACAGACTGTGGAAACTTCACACTGGACTTCAAGCATCTTGCAGTGTGTGCCTCTCCATTCTTCCTCCATACTCGGGGTCCTTGTGCCTCTCCATTCTTCCTCCATACTCGGGGTCCTTGTGCCCTCTCCATTCTTCCTCCATACTCGGGGCCCTTGGGCCTCTCCATTCTTCCTCCATACTCGGGGTCCTTGGGCCTCTCCATTCTTCCTCCATACTCTGGGTCCTTGGGCCTCTCCATTCTTCCTCCATACTCGGGGTCCATTGGGCCTCTCCATTCTTCCTCCATACTCGGGGTCCTTGGGCCTCTCCATTCTTCCTCCATACTCGGGGTCCTTGTGCCTCTCCATTCTTCCTCCATACTCGGGGTCCTTGGGCCTCTCCATTCTTCCTCCATACTCGGGGTCCTTGGGTCTCTCTCATTCTTCCTCCATACTCGGGGTCCTTGGGGCTCTCCATTCTTCCTCCATACTCGGGTCCTTGGGCCTCTCCATTCTTCCTCCATACTCGGGGTCCTTGGGCCTCTCCATTCTTCCTCCATACTCAGGGTCCTTGGGCCTCTCCATTCTTCCTCCATACTCGGGGTCCTTGGGCCTCTCCATTCTTCCTCCATACTCGGGGTCCTTGGGCCTCTCCATTCTTCTCTCCATATTCTGGGTCCTTGGGCCTCTCCATTTTTCCTCCATACTCGGGGTCCTTGGGCCTCTCCATTCTTCCTCCATACTCCGGGTCCTTGGTTTCCAAATGAGATGCAAAAGTTGCTCTCAACAGAAAAGAGGACTTTGGACCACTGAGCAACAGACCAGGTCTGTTTTTCTTTAGCCCAGGTAAGACGCTTCTGATGTTGTTTGTTGTTCAGGAGCGGCTTGACAAGAGGAATACGACATTTGAAGCCCCATGTCCAGGATCCGTCTGTGTGTGGTGGCTCTTGATGCACTGACTCCAGCCTCAGTCCACTCCTTGTGAAAGTCCCCAACACTTTTGAATGACCTTTTCCTGACAATCCTCTCCAGGCTGTGGTCATCCCTGCTGCTTGTGCACCTTTTTCTTCCACACTTTTCCCTTCCACATAACTTTCTATTAATGTGCTTTGATACAGCACTTTGGGAACATCCAACTTCTTCTGCAATTCCCTTTTGAGGCTTTCCCTCCTTATGGAGGGTGTCAGTGATGGTGTCAGGTCAGCAGTCTTTCCCATGATTGTGATTCCTACTGAACCAGACTGAGAGACCATTTAAAGGCTCAGGAACCCTTTGCAGGTGTTATGGCTGAATGATCTGATTAGAGTGGGACACTTTGAGCCGAGATTATTCCACCTTTTCACAATATTCTCATTTTCTGAAATTGTGGATTTGGGGTTTTCATGAGCTGTAAGCCATAATCATCACAATGATGACAAATCACGGCTTGAACTATCTTGCTTTGCATGGAATGAGTCTCATATATTAGTTTCACCTTTTAAGTTGCTGCACTGAAATAAATCAACTTTTTGCACCAGATTCTCATTTTTTGAGTTTCACCTGTAGGTGGTACACACTAAAAGTTTTTTTCTTCATTCAACCCAGCAGGCGTAAGGTCCCTGTACTAAGTGTTGTTAGTGTGTGGCGATCTCCACGATGTGCCTTTGTGTGGGATCCTTAATCATGACCCCTTATGATTAAGTCGATGACGAAACGCGTCAAGGGAAGTGACGTCAAGACACACACAGGAACCGGAAGTTGACCGGCGCCCATTTTGGAGAAGGGAAACAATCGTATCTGGAGTACATGGACGTTTTCCTGGATGGCTGTGAGGTCTATATATTACAAACAAGTGTTTTTAAAGGCTTTTTTTGATGTAAGCAGTATAAATAAAGGTCCTATTATCATATGATTGGCGGTATCACACTATTCTGTCCCTCATATTTTATCTCTGGATGGAGTAAAGCGCCTGGAGTCATTGGGAGCATTGAGGTTAAGGAATCCAGGGAGGATTGTGGAGATGACCTATTCCTAGGAAAGCTGTTGGATCAGTATAAGCATATGTTTTTTGGAGTGTTTGGTAAGGGTACCCTTACTTTAAGTAGAAGTGCACACTGATTTGCAACTTTTTGTGGCATTGAAGGGTGATTCACACACACAGTGTTTTCACTAATTAATTCATGTTTTTTCACGGTTTTTACTTTTGCAACATTTATTCACTGTGAAGTGCGGGGGATGAATTGAATTGATGTTATATGAAGGATAATGCACTATGTGATATTTTTTCTTTTTTTGAGGTATAAAGATCTGGGAAATCGTTGGAAGAATTTTGAACAGTTTTTGAATTATTTTTTCACTATGATATTTTAGGGTAATTAGGGGTAATAGTTGATGGACTTATTAATGGACTTTATAGTTGTTGTTTAATTTATTTTATTTTGTTAAACACTTTCACATATAGAATCTGTTACACCTTCAGGGGACGGTGTTGTTTGTGTTTGTGGGGGTTGTAGTATTATATTTTGGAGGTGGTTTTTTGATTGTAAAAAAATGATTCTAGCATTGCAGGGCAGCAGCTGCAGCCAGTGTTTCTCTGACATTGATGAATAAAGTGTCCTTGTTTTTATTGGGAATGATTGTGATTTCTTCTTGACATAGGTACAAAAACTCATCTTGAACAGTCTCAGTAAAATCTGTGAAACTTTCCTGGGTAAAAGAAAAGCAGAAAAAGTAGAAGAGGATGCCATTAAGAAGCAATTAATGACTGGGCTGGTCTGTGTCCTTGTAATGGATCATTGTCAAATCTCTCTTCAGAGAGACAGGATTGTTAATCTATGCAGTGCTTTGTGTTTGGATAAAAAGCCCAAAAAAGAGATGATTTATGAACTTCAGAGAGCAAAAGATACAGTCCATGAAATTCCACGGTGAGTTATTCCAGCATTTCTTGTAATACATCAAACGGTGGGTTCTGGATTTGTTCTTTGTTCTCAGCACACATGTATCAAAGTAAACCTCTAAAACATTGTTTGGCTCTATATTGGTGAGAGGTTATCCTAGGAGCATTATAAACCTTCCTTCTAGTTTCAACAGTAGATATCCCTGCAAATATTACTAGTACCAACATCCCTACACTACATGTGTCTTCAAACCATTCAACAATGGGAAAAAGGACTATAGCCACATAGAAGAAAAATATTTGAAATGCTACATTTTTGGCCATATTCAATATATTTCAAATTATATATATATACTGCATGTTGAAATGCGTTTTATTACAAATGTATGAAAAATATTTTTAAAAATACATGTAAAATATACTGTATGTCTTTAAAAAATACAAATCTATATTTTTGGAATGCATTTACAGATAGATATATGTAAAAATGTTAAAATTACTTTTTTTATGTGTTAAAAAAATCTGAATTTTTTACTAAATATATTTTGACTATATTCTTCAGATTTTTTTTTACATATAAAAAGTCATTTTAACA